GAATTTGTATTGATTGTGCGATTAATTTCGTCGTGTACGATGCAAACGAAGTGTGAACTGACAAAGCTGAAAAACGATATACAACTATCTCACCTTGCCCCGGTTTCATTTACTGTGCAAATCTGTGAATATGTATGGACCAAATGATTAACCGTCTAATCCGCTACCCGTTGGTCAAGTGGGTTGGAGAAGAGGGTCGCATCCTGTTTGTGAGGTCCCAACTTGGAAACTCACAGAGGCGACCGACTCTCACTGTGGGTGGGACTCGAAGGAGAGAAAAGACTGTACAGTGAGTGCTTCCTAACTTTTCAGTCGATGCTTCTTTTACTCTGTACACGGTGAACTTCATCATATGAACTGAATTTGCTGACCCCTGTTGGGTCGAACTTCTTTCCAGTGCTGGTTCCCGGGAGAGAGTTTCGAAAAACAGAACAAATTGTGGTTAAATGACGGAAACAATCTTTTTTCCCTAATCCCTTTCGCTAACTTTTGATTAATTACTGCCTATCAATTACGAAGTATTAGACGAAAAAATTTATTTTATTTATTTTATCCCAGAACCATCAATTCCTAATTGTGTCCTTCATTGTTTTCTGCTGTGTACATCTATACCTTTTCAACTTCAAGTGAATCCGTCGTAACTTCAAGTGAATCCAACCAATTGCACTCCATTGGAAACCCCATAAGATGACTGGTGTTTTGGTCATCAATTGTCACCGATTGGACCGGGTCTGTCTAAACCTCCTCCAGTCCGAATGAACTACCTTCTCGGTAAAGTACTTTTGAGTGAGTTACCGAGCGAGGATGAACGTTTCGGTGGTGTGAGGTGCACCGTTCTCTTATTCATTTTTTTCGTAGACGTATTTCGATTATCGGCGTTAACGTAGTTCAACCCAAGCGGAATGAAGCGAACGAGCATTCTTGAGCTAAGCCGTCATGCGTTTTGGGATAAACCTGCTAGCTCATCGAATTCAGACTGGTGGACTTCGCTGGCTAGGATACATATAGTGTATGCCCAGTTGTCGTTTGCCATAACCCGCTTTATTCGCTTAAGCTGGTAGTGAATGAATGTGTATGCAAAATGTTCAGTGGACTACAAGCTATCAGATCAGGATAAATGGATAAGGCAAAACCAGGTAACATGTGTAAAGTGGACACGATATGAGGAATGTTAGATAAGAATGAATGAAGCAAGTATGAAAACATGAGAAATAGACAGTAAATGAGGGGGGTATTTAAAAGTGTCACATGGGGCAATCACTCATACGGCCATGGAAACAGCAAAGTTTCTAATCCGTTCTAACTGATAGGACACAATACCTAATGATCTGTTAGTGCCATACCCGGTGATTCACTAGGCTGGAAACGCATTGTTGAGAACAAAATTCAGCTGACATTGATTTACCCTTGTACTCGATTAAACCGTGTCAGATGGCAGTGGGTGATCAAAACTCATAGGTCAATCCGCACCCTTACTGAATCGTCTGTGTATCTGATGCGGAAAGCCGACCGCTCTGTTTCGAAATTTCGCTGTTCGATGGGTAATTCGAATGTGAAAATGTCAGTGCCATTGGTGTGGCCTCGTAACTCAGCTGGTAGGGCTATCGCGTACAAAGCGTAGGCGGCGTCCATGTGTGGGTTCGGATCCCTAAGAGGTTACTAAACTTTTCACAACCACCATATAAAGGAAAGATGACAAATCACGTTTGGTCTGACTGAACGCATCAAGTTTGAGTTTTCGGTAATCGTGCGAACAGATCAACCGTCTTATTCCGCTAAAATAAAAATCGGCAAGTTGATCTGTGAAAAATACACCATTTCCTACAAACCGGGCTGGTTCAAAAGCGGAGTGAATATAGGCCGGAAGACGCCAGTGACCACAGAGAAGTTGAGTAATAATGTGTGATGTCTACACAACTGCCCAGTTCAGTGCAGAGCAGAAACAATGTCACTGCTTTCCACCTTAATAATAGGTAGCTCGTTTACACAATCTTTTGTAGTAACAAATACAGGAAATATACTGCAAAGTGGTATCTGCGGTGCCACTGAACCTTTTCTCGTATTTGACATTCAGTATTAAGACAACCGTGGGGAGAATATTTTACCGACCCATTACAGAGTTACCTTAACTTGTGGGATCATGGTTAACTGTAACTAATTCAAATCACCGCCTGTCTCATTCACTAAACTATAAACGATCGCAAAGATGTAACCAGTATGCGAAAAGATGCGACGGATTGAGCAATGATACAATAAAGATAAGAACCTATGCGATGCAGCTAAGTAGCGAAGGGAGAAGCTGCAGGTAACAAATTGTTGCCATTGGCATTGTGGATAGGATGTGTTAATCAGCCAGGGAATGACAGAAAAACTATGATTTCTGTTAGCTAGTGAATAGGTTCGGATTTAATCTTGCTATTCAGGTGAAATACTGTTACTTCTATCACCACTATTACCATTGTTAAGTATCTTGTCAAGTGTGCATTTCAATGTCAGAAATATGTGAGCAATCGCATTTGATTCAAAGGAATCGGTTTAATTCGAGAGAAACTCGGCCTCAATGGAATTTACTTATTGGGTTATTGAGGGGCTTAGACTGACTCCACTCATACAAAGAATCATGCTCACATTCACGTCTGGGCATGGTGACCGACTTATCGATCCATCTCGACGTAATTCGCTTCCTCACCGGACCGTCAGAGGTCAATTCACTCCGGGTTTATTCATTCTTATCTATGACGCACACTCACGAACATGACGTTCCCGGGTGGAACGGGTGTGTGGGTGGGTGGAGGAGGGGGGGGGAGAACGGTCCAACTGAATCCCCCTCCCCGAATCATTCAACCTCGTTCGGTAACTCACTCCAAAAGTACTTTACCGAGAAGTGAGTTCATTCAGACTGGACGGGGCTTAGACGGACCCGGTCCAATGGGTGACATTTGACGGCCGAAACACCAATAATCTTGTGGGGTTTCCAGTGGAGTGTAATCGGCTGGATTCACTTGAAGTTGAAAAGGTGTAGTTGCTGTCCGCTGTACCCCATTGTGGATATAACTTTCAATTAAACTTCATCAGCAAACGTCAGGAAGATTGTCGCTTGCAGCATCCTATCCAGATCTGTGGCGGCATGAGATTTCACCTGCCGTTGCATGGAAAGCCATCGGGATTGTATCAGGTGAACCCAGTAATTCAGTGACTTATGCAGGGCTTGGACGGGAAAAGCGCACTCAAGTGAACCTTCACAGTCGATGTCAATGGGTATGGGGATTAATTCAAAGGTTATTTTAAATGCGGTGGAAATGTTTGTGACCACCCATAAAAAGCACTGGACAGCCGTTTCGTCCTGTTTGTGGCTCGTCTGTAGTGTGTACAAGGAGTGAAACCCACATCGAATACCATTATCAACAGTGCGTGGTGCCTGTGAATTGTTCCTAATGGCGTTCGGATGTCACTCGTAGGCACTTGTCACAACAGGAATGCCATATAAGCTGACTTTCGTTAAAAAGGGTGTCTGTTTCAGACGTAAAATCAGTTCATTTTAGGAAATCCCTGTTCAAGAACGCAGCAGAATGAGAATAGTAATGGTTGTTAATTATAACCCACTTAATTCATTCAGCAGGATTTCCAACGATTTTATTGTGAGTTGGCCGTGATAAGAGAGCAGCTAATAATGGGCTGATCGAAAGTTTTGGAGAGAGAGAGAGAGAGAGACGTTCACACAGGATCTCAGAATGTTGATGTAATTTCAACCATACCTAGGGCATTGCCCAATGGAGGATAGAAACCGCACCTTTAGTTTCCACAGATCATCATATGCTGGTATGCGTGAATAATATGACATTCATAGTGTGAGTTCATTTCTCGTCCCCGTCACACAAAAATGCTGCAAAATTTGCACAAATTACTCCGCATTGTACCGAACTCCTCCTCCAACAAGACCGGTAAGTAATTCTAGCCCTTTCTGATGGTCTCGGCGGTATCCAACGAATGTTCTGATTAAACGTAATCATACGATATCGTGTTTGCGTGAAAATAGGTAGCTCGCCGATCTATCTACATTATCGAATTATCTTATCCACGTTCACTTTGCGATCATTTCAGACTATGATTTATTCAAATGAATATTCATTACTCAGTGCTAAGGACGGGTAAACTAATGGGAGATAGTTAGAACATCCATTCGATTTTCGGTACATATGTCGTTTAGCTTTGGATTCTAATTTTCAGTATTCTTGGAAAATCTAGACAGCCATAGGATTATAAACGGTCACCAGACCGCACTGGCGTTGCACTGTTTGTATCTGATTAGATGTCGATTTTTCTCATCCGCTGCGTGCTACACATCACATCAGAATGAAAAGACCTTTATCGTAATAGCATCACTGCCAAATATTGATAATGTTTACCTTCCTCTTTATTCTTTTGGCAGAGGTGCAGGCACTTCACAGAACGCAGCGGGAGGGGGCGGCAAATCCAATCAATGGGATCGTACAGAAGTGAGGACGATGGACCACGGATAGAAATCGATACTGCGCCGTAAATTTTCCTTAAATATTCAATCTGTGCTAGTTGTAAAATTCCATTCTGATTTGATTTTTCTACGATTTGTTTTGGTTTATAAGAATGGGGCATCCTTTCAAGTGTGGTATTCAATTTTTCGGCAAAGCTGACTGGTCCGCCTCGATGTAAAACTCTCCGCAGAAATTGATTCTCCACATTCGAAGTTGTGTTCGACTAAGCGGACGATTACATTTTCTCATACATTATCAAGCATTCAATCATTCAGTCAACCATAAAACGTGACTTGGTTTACGTATAAATCTTCCTGTGTTAGTAAGTTATAAAACTTCAACATTATTTAAAAAGTTGCAAATAGTTTGAAATGTTATGATCCAGTGGCCTCGTTCTCTTTCGATTTTCCCCCAAATAAGCTGAAAACAATAAATATTTCTTTTGCTTTATGACAAAACCGAAAGTAGATCTGATTTAGATGAATTGAATTACCCGTCAGTTACACTTACAACCAGCTCCCAAATGCTCGAGTAATTCCCGTCAGATAGACAAAGAGAACAGGTGAACGACGTTTCACGACTGAACACGGTCGGGTCCGGCTGAGGTTGTACCGGTTCAGACTGTCCTACTACACGATCCTCGCAGTAACTGACTGCAGATCGAGGTCTCGAATGTCCAGGAGATATCGATAGGGCTGATTCTATGAGCACCGGTGGCTTTCGTCCGAAAGATCGCATATTTCGTTCGACGAGGGGAAACTTGTTCTCACTTTTGGTGTCCGTCGAATTCGCAATATGTGTGGACATGTGTTCAATAAAATGTTGCAAATTTGAGGAGTGAGAGCGGCAAACTGGACAGATGAATACTTCCGTGTCAGACACAGGGATGCAACTAAGGCGACTCGATTGCGATTCCACAGGACGTGCACGTTTGTGACCTTTCCCGGCGCTCCCATCAACCAGTCTTTTGTTTCTGGGCATTGTGTCGTTTTTCATATCCTTACTGAAAAACTGACGTTCGGCCTGTAATCTTAGATCCAACGGACCAGTGGAATCCGACATGTTCCTTGCTGTAGGGAGGGCGGGAGGGAACGGGGGGGGGGAAGAAATACGGAGACTTCTGCCTATCGGAAAATGATGTTGAAGCGTACGTTGGGCGTAATGCTCATAGTTCAAACTCAAAAAGCGATGCTAACATTAGACACAACTACCCCCCCCCCTCCCGNCCCCTCCCGGCACACACACACACACACACACGATGAATTCTGTCGACCAAGTTTCGATCCCCAGAGATCCTTGACTGATTGCTTGTTGGCGGAAAATGTAATAGTGTCGTTATCAAAAAATGTGTTTTCTAAATATTTTCTTGTACTCACCTTTCGTGACTGTAGAAGAAATGCCTTTGTATAAAGTGCTTTCTCATCGTCTGTATTTTACCCCGAAATCGTGTTTTTTAATCTACAATCTCAGAAAATGAGTCTGAAAACTGAAATCAGCAGAGAAAGAAAGAGATAATCATGTTATCGAAACGTACACCAACAGAATACTGCAGGATGGTTATTCAGTTCTAGGCTGAATGATGAATGATTCGTTATTCATTCACCTTTGCAGGTCCGATGAAAACGATCCAGCAGATGGGCCATGTGCAACAAATGACATGACACTTAGCCCGCTAGCACGAGCCGCTCGCCTCGAGTCTTTAGAATGCCCCAATGCACCTCGACTGTGCCGAGCAGGAATTCCATCATCACACGACTAGACAACAGGTGACAAGAGCATCCCAAACATTACGAACTGGTGATCAGACAGTCTCGTGTCAGATTGAGGGACTACAAAAAAGGTGCAACTCGTGGAAATTACCCAATCATATCTAAAAGGGGGATTAAAGGGGGATTTAGCTCTGTGACTTCTTGGATGAGTGGGACAAGATGTGTCAAACGATGAAGCAGTCATACTTTAGTCAAAAAAATTTGGCCTCTCCACCAAGGCTTTAGTGTTTTGAACGCCCTTTATGGCAATGAGTTTTAGCTTATCCCCAGAATGAAATTGATCTTGTAACCTGAGACTGCGAAAGCTACCGATCAGATAAATTTTCATCTAATCCGAAGGAAAATAGTGATGAAACGTTACCAAATATTCACCTTTAAAAGATGTGAATTAGTAAATATTTTCCAAGTGTTCTCAATGTGAATTCATGTACATCAGCAGTTGTGCGTTTGTGTATTGTTTCCATAACATCAAAATATACCGGCCCTTGTGTGTGTGTGTGTGTGTCTGTTTGTTTGTGTCAATTCGTATGAAGAATGGAACATAATGTCGTATCAATGTAGTAGTGCACTCCACGTGTTAATGATATACTGTGTAGGTAAGGATTTTGAGTCATAAGTAGTTCGAGTCCCGACAGAAATAAAGCAAATACAGCGGTTTACTGATACGCACACCCACAAAAGCAACCGCATTTTGGTGATTTTTGTTCAGTATCACTTAATAAACTTCATTGCCTATCAAATACCTTCTTTATTTCCAATTTCCATGTTTCATTTTGTCTAACTTGTCCACAACTTTTCTGCCATGTGCTCAGCTGAGGGGAGAAAGATAATGAACTTGACTGTGAACGAAAAGTGCGAATACCGACCCATCACACTTGATTCATTGTTATTCCATTTTTTAGGTACCCCTAAAAATATGAATTCAGGCAGATGAAATAATGATATTGTAGATGCGTGGCATTTTATTAATTCACGATTTCTAAGGCAATTTATTCAAACTGTTTTACAAACCGTCTAGAAGATAGACATTCATGTAAAGGAATTCACCATATACGGTGCTTTGGACCTGATCATTGTAACTCCAGTTTTTTTAATTTAACTGTTTTCCTATAATTTAGGGAGATAAAAATTCAACCGCCAATGGTTTGAATTGGTTATTACATTGAACCACACAGTTGTCTTCCCTTCTCATCTAGCAATGTATCATTAGAAAACATGTTACAAAAATCAATGTGAAAATCAAACTGATCGACCAAATAACAGTTTGGTTTCGCATTGCTTTCGGTATTCTCTATTACTCAGAACCTTAAGAAAGTCACTGCGGTCGATTCGCTAGCTACAGTTTCCATCCTTAATTCTGACACAAATCGGTCACTGTTATCAATTCAGTGGGCTAGAATTGCATCACTCGCGCACATCATCGAACTCACGCTGAGGATCGATGAGACTTTGAATTTAAACCCAAACGCGACAGAAAACCTCAGATTGTCCCTTGACTGATCATCCTTCAAACTTTCCCATTCGCACACTATAGACCTCGGGAAGACTCAGGCTGGAGTTTTGCTCAGTAGTGCATATCCACCGCCCATCCGGGATTTGAACGCTCAACTCCTCAGATGACAGCTATGCGTGTTATCACTGTGCTAACCAGCCTCCAACCGGGGCTGACCAAAATTATCAGTTATAGTTTGTTCTGATAACGTCTTTACTGGTAGTCAGAGTTCATTTAGACAGACAGCTTACTCTCTCTCTCTCTCTCTCTCTCTCTCTCTCTCTCCTAACTGCAATCGGGAAACCTTTCGTCCAATCCGGTAGTCCATTTAGGTTGGCCAACGTGCCCAGTTATATCTGCTAGACTAGATTTCAGTTCCTTTTCAATTGCCTTTAGCTTTTGAGTAGTGGAATAGCAATTAACTTTCAGGTATATAAACCAACTCCTTGCTAGTCGCGTTTGATAACTGTGTGGAATTCACCATTCATCACAAAATTTAAACCGGTAAGAGATATATTCAATCAATCTGATTGTTCTATCTCAATGGGAGCTTCATGTTTCTCCCGCTGTTCATTTCAATGTGAACTTCAATCCACCAAATGAAACAAACGTTATTTTGAGTTAAAAGATACAATTGATTGTGAAAAGTAAGATTAAATTTGATGCTATTTAACAGATCTTGGCCATTGACTATTGGGGGTTCATAGATAAGGGATCTTATCCCCCCCAAAGCGAAGGATATTCGCAGATCCGAGCTCGTGAAGGGGCACACTACGGATGAATCCCAACAGGGACGAAAAAATCGTCCAGTTTTCTGTTCTCAGAGAGAGAATGAGAATGTTCAAATTAACTACGCTCACTGCGATCCTCCTCGATAATAATCGTTCCACCTAAATAACCTCATTGACACCAAAGTATACTAAGATGTATGGAGAAAGTAACAAATGGTGCGGTGACCCACAGAATATAACACCGATTTGAAAGTACGAACACCATAAGTGGTAGTGACTCACCTCAGTTGTACGTGCACTGAAACTGGGCCCGTCAGGCAGCTCAAACCCGACCTATGTATTATCAATCACAGAAAACAGTCAAATTGTGCCGCTTGCCAACGAAATCTGTTACGCAGGTGTGTATTGTAAATCCCAGACCGATGGATCACCCACGCGTACGCAGTGACAGACTTTGTGTCGCCGATCGTGTACTCGCG